CGCCATGCAGCAGCGATTAACGCCGTTTCCATTCACTGTACAGGTGCTTGCTGCTACCTGCCTCGCACAGCCTTATGAAGCCACCAGCGTCAGGGTAGTTTCCCGTGGCGGATTCCCTGTCCGTCGCGGCCTACCACCGCCGACAGCCACCCAGAAAGACACGGACGAGGCAAGAGACATCGCTACCGTGAAACTCGTGGACTATCAGCCGCCACTTCCGTCATCGACATCGCAGCCACCACCGGCTGTAAGAGAGCCCGCCCCTCCCCCGCCACTTCGTGGGCTCGGCAGTCGTACCGCCATGCAGCAGCGATTAACGCCGTTCCCATTCATTGTACAGGCGCCTACAAACGAATCTCTCTTTGCAAGAAAAAGCTGAAACCGCTTCTTAGAAGAGCTGCCGAGTCATCGGTGCCTTGTTGCTTTGTTTTTCATGTGTGTCGATGTTCTTCGCGAGCTGTTACTGCAGTCAGGAGACGTCGAAGAAAACCAAGGTCCACACACTCGTAGCGGGGACAACCAGACAGTCTCTACCATTCACGCAATTCTTACAAAACTGGAGGCTGGCCAAGCTTTAATTATGTCAGAGCTAAAAGCGATAAAGAACAGACTGGCAGCAACGGAACAAACACTAACGAGAAAAGAGTCAAAGTACAGGCTAGCTGGTGGAAGTCAACCATTTCGTCGTTTACCCTGAGACTGGGGGTTTTTTTGAAGAGCAGAAGAAACAGAAAAAACAGACAGGTCTCAAACTCAGCTACACGTTTATTTCAAAAACTTCCTCTTATATAGTTCGTTTTCGTCGTCAACAACCAATCACATACGACTAGTCCTTTGCACCGTGACTTTACAGGTTCCACTATATCACAAAAGAAGCGGACACTCCCAACGTTTCCAAGTGAAAAGGTTCTAGCAGAAGATATGCCTCACAAAGCCCCAAGCAACTCTTTTGTGTCCTCACAATAAACAGGACAACAGCCAACAACAACATCCCACTCAAAACTGGTCACCTCCAAAATTGTAGAAAACAGACAATACACACCGGTATACACCACAGACAATACACACCAACGAAGCCTTTCAAAATGACTAACTAAAAAAAAAAAAAAAAACATTTAAAATTGTAAAAATTGCTTGCAGCGGTTCCCTATTTGCATGGAAGGTTGACTAATGCAATTTCCCAACGATCTAATCCTAATTGTTTCTCTTACCACCCTTTTAACATCGTTCCTTTCCTTAACAACTACATCCGTTCCAGACCAATCCGTTGTGCAGTTTCTACACTCCTCCAGATGCTTAGCCAACTCCGAATTTGCTGCATTATTTTTAACATTCCTTTTGTGTTCTGTTAAACGATCGTTTAAACACCGAGAGGTTTGGCCTACATACTTAAAACCACACGCCAAAGGAACCTCATACACCACGCCTACGCTACACGGCACCGACTTTTCCCTATGCGCCTTCTGACAGCCCCTCTGAGCCGTTTCAAAAGGTGTCAATCTATCTAACCTAAAATCCGTGCTGAATACGACATCCACGCCATATTTTTTTGCACATGCTCTAAGATTGTGGGACACCTCGTGAAAATACGGAACCACAGCGTACCTATTCCTGATTTCTTGCGTCTTCCCCTTTTTTTCCCTGCACTGTAGGGCAATCTGCCTTTTGATGTACTCTTCCCCATATCCTGCCATTACCAGTCTTTCCCACTGGTTTTTTAGTGCCTCCGGTCCGAAATGCATGCATGATCTCACGCATGATCTCACTTGGAAACGTTGGGAGTGTCCGCTTCTTTTGTGATATAGTGGAACCTGTAAAGTCACGGTGCAAAGGACTAGTCGTATGTGATTGGTTGTTGACGACGAAAACGAACTATATAAGAGGAAGTTTTTGAAATAAACGTGTAGCTGAGTTTGAGACCTGTCTGTTTTTTCTGTTTCTTCTGCTCTTCAAAAAAAAACCCAGTCTCAGGGTAAACGACGAAATGGTTGAACAAACACTGTCCGAATTACGCACACATATAACTAAAACTGAAACCGAATTTTCTTCTATCCCTGAAATCCGCTCCAACGTTGACAGGTTGTTATCCTCAGCCGCCGAAACATCAAGTGTACTGGCTAACGTCGACGATAGACTGAACGATGCTGAGGACAGATCACGCCGTGGAAACCTTGTTTTTATGGCATTGCCGAAGGTGCCTTCGAAACGTGGACTGGCAGTAAAAATCTAATCATTAATCTTTGCAAGGATCATCTTGGCCTGTCGATCGAACCCAAAGAAATCGAAAGAGCGCACCCGAGTGAGAAAGGTTCAACCAAACAAACATCGCCCAATTGTCGTAAAATTTACATTCTTTAAAACCAGAGATATGGTATTGTCGAACTGCATCATGTTTAAGGGCACAAGCTTCAGAGTTGGGGAAGACTATTCTACAGCGACTCGTATAACGCGCAGAAAATTATTACGTTTTGCCCGCGACCAAAATTCCCCTTTCAAACTTCGGAACAAAAAGCTGATATTGGAAACAAAACGTGCTACTACGATACGACTGAAATGAGGGTGCAAGAAAGATTTCCAATATAGCAACAAGCCGCATGCATTTCACCACCCCCAGTTGGATCCGGTCCTCGTCACAGCATGAATAAAACGCACTGCAACACAAATGACAGCGTATTTTCAGTTCTTTTTACTAACATTCGGAGTGTCATGCCAAAACAAGAACAAATATGTAATCTAATCCAGTCATATGAATGTGGTACTGTTATACTCACAGAAACGTTGCTTACGCCTGCTATCACAGATTTGGAAATTTTCCCGCTTCTACCCGAGTTTCTTGTATATCGACAGGACCGCACATCAACGAGAGGTGGGGGCGTCTTAATCGCGATAAAAAATTCAATCCCTCATCATAGAGTAGACGTTAACAGCCCTTTAGAGATTGTCTGGATAGCATGCAAAGGTCTATGTAATCTTATCGTTTTAGGTGCGTGCTACCGCACGCCAAAGCAGGATTCTGAATTTGCAAGACAATTCAATGACGCTTTAGACTACTTGCATAAAAAGTACCCAAGAGCACAATTTATTATTTGCGGTGACTTCAACTATCCAAGCATAAATTGGTCAGATGTATCTCGTGTCAGCCCTAAAGAATATAGTGAATTTTTAAACTGTATACAGAACTACCAAATCACTCAAGTGATTACGCAAGCAACAAGAGAGACCGCAGATACTTCGAACATACTAGACTTAATTCTCATGCCCAAGCAAATTACAACCCCTGTATTACCTTAAAGAACTAAGCGACCATAACGTAATTCTGGCTACTTTCAAATCATGTCTCCAGGACGAGAAACCCATTACCAAGCAAAACAAACTTTATGAGCGCGGAAATTACGAAGCCATAAACAGAGAACTCGAAAACTTCTATCTCTCATACGAGCGAGGTTTTTACTATCGCGCTGTCGATGAAAACTGGTACCTATTTTGTAACAACGTGAACGGTAGATAAATTTATACCAACCATTACCATTAAAAGCAAACTATCTGTCCCATGGTTTAACAATGCAATTAGAAAAATGAACAAAAAAAAACGTTAATTTAGATTAGCGAAAGCAAAAAACATACCTTCTACGTGGCTACTCTATTATGAAGCAGAAAAACATTTTACAAATGCAGTTCGCAAAGCTAAGCAGTGCTTTATTGGAACCACCCTACCCAGTATAACCCCAAAAAGTTTTGGAAAACTGTAAACCCTTCAGCCGTAACTTCAATCACCTTACATGATAATTCCGATGAGCCCTTAAGTAACAGTGAATGTGCTAATATGCTGAACAACGCTTTCTGCTCCGTTTTTACGCCAGAACGCAGCCTGACCCCCCCCCCCCCCCCCAGCTACTACCGACACAGTGATTCCTGAAACTATGTCTCCAATGATAGTTAACTATAACGGCATAGTCAATGTGATTAACAATATGAAGCTTTCATCAGCTGCTGGACCAGAAAACATCAATTCCAAAATACTGGAAAACACAAAGGTTATAAACAACGTCATTCTCACATTACTGTTTTCTCAATCACTCGAAACAGGCCACGTCCCGGCTCAGTGGAAGTTAGGTAAGATTATTCCAATCCCTAAACCCGGTTCTAGGTCTTCACCATATAATTACCGGCCCATATCTTTGGCAAGCGTGCGATCAAAAATTTTGGAACACATAATTTTCACAAACATTATAAATCATTTAGAGCGTAACAACTTCAACACCCTTCAAAACATGGTTTCCGTAGGGGGTTATCTTGTGAAACACAACTAGCCGGATTCCTTCACGACCTGCATATTAATTTCGACAATAAAACACAGACAGACACAGCTTTTCTCGATTTCGAAAAAGCGTTCGACGAAGTCCCGCATCGCCGATTGATGTCTAAACTTGCCCTCCTTAACCTAGACCCGTTCGTATTATCCTGGAATAACAACTTCCTTTCTAACAGAAATCAGTTGGTCCTTGTAAATACCACACCCTCTAACACCAGCCCCGTTCTCTCGGGAGTACCTCAAGGCACAGTACTTGGCCCTCTTTTCTTTTTAATATATATTAATGATTTTCCGCTCTGTGTATCTAATAACATCCGCCTCTTTGCCGATGATTGCGTCTTATAATCCAAGATTAACAGTCACGATGACCAAGTAAAATTGCAAGCAGATCTTTCAGCTATAGAAAATTTGTGTAATAAATGGCAAAGGTCCTTAAATGTTTCAAAATGTAAACTCGTCTCTTTTCATAAACGCACCAATCCATTTACTTATAATTACGCAATCGGTAGTTCTGTCCTACAAGCAACTAGTACTTACAAATACCTAGGCGTGCACTTCAGTAAAGACCTTTCATGGCCCATCCACATAAAACAGTATAATTTAAACTGCAAGTAAATCCCTTGGCTATTTGCAACGTACCTAAAAATTCGCTCCTCCTCACCTGAGAGCACTCGCCTATACAACACTCATCCGCCCCAAACTAGAATATGCCGCAGCGATATGGGATCCATACCAAAATTACCTTATGAAAAACTTAGAAGCCATTCAAAATAGTGCTGTAAGATTCGTATACTCCGACTATTCGTCTTTTACAAGCGTCACCCAACTAAACAAACGTGCGGCTCTGCCATTGCTAAATCACCATCGAAGAATTTACAGATTGTCACTGTTTAACCGATATTATCACACGTTGTCACCGAACCCTTACATAACGCTCCGTTCGCACTATTCAAGTCGCATTAACAACACCCAACAAGTGTCATATCCTCGCCCAAACAAAGATCGATTTGCAAATTCCTTTTTTATTAAAACAGCCAAAGATTGGAACGATCTTCCTGAGAACATAGTACAGCTCCGGGACTTGGATAAATTCAGAGAAGCTCTTATAGCGTTAGATCAATCATAGTTTCATAATGATTAAATTCATGCGTGCATTTGTGGGCTCTCCCTATCTTTCTTGATATAGATGTGCTCTTTTTGTATTATTTTGTATTTTGTCTACAGGTTTGTGGAATTCTCGCTGCTTTTCTGTGTAATGCCCACCCCTCATGTAATACCCCCTACGACGGGGGCCTTAGAGGAAAATGAAATAAATAAATAAATAAATAAATATCTTACCGGTTCCAATCCAGAAGACAAAGGCGCTTGTTGGGACACCGGCGCTGTAGCAGACGCCGCCACTGTTCCGGGTACGACGGACTCCTTCCCGGATACGGGCGCAGACTTGGACACCCCCGACTTTTTGGGCCCCGGTTTGGACTTTTTTGTCTTTTTTCCGGATAACGACTCAGACACTCTCCATGTCGTGGGCACTTTGTAAGCATTACTTGCAGCCTAAAAATTAAAAAAAAACTAGAAAACGTGGCCAACCATTATGAAAAGATGTTCCGTATGTTTCTGTGAATACTTCCATCATTTTCTAGAACTATAGTGTTTTAGAAAAAAAAAAAGATTTCGAAGCGAGCTACCGGCCACGGAGGAGAGTTGCGAATTACAAAACACATACTTCTGACCTAAATATTTACCAAAAATAAATTGCATTTTTTTGTTTAGCAGAAATAAGCGTATGGTTTCAATTATAAACTTAATTGCTGAGCATCATCGAAAACCCCTAATGCAGTTAATTTTAAAACGACTTGAAGCACGTGGGCACTGCAGGGATGCGTTAAATTTTATTTAAATTTACCAGGCGCAAGGTTGGTGATGAAAAAGCGCGAATGTTATCCCTAGCTTCCATATCTTCACATCGCCGGTTTTGCGCCTACTTAACGAGTGTTAACTTTAGCACACACCCGTGGTTCCCACGTCCTTAACGTCATCTTAAAATTTTTGGGATTTTTTTTATGACGTTCAGCAAGTTTCTATTTAGAATAGTATGTTTCCTTTCCCTAAATAAAAGTCAAGTAGCTAATTTTATGTGCATAGTTCGCCAATCAATATTTTTTTTGCAATTCATGACGTCCGCCGTGCTTTGAAGTTTGATCCTGGTAAGAGTTACTGTTTTTGTCAATCACCCTAGATTTAGGATTTGCTTTTTTTCAATTTTGCTGAAGCACCCATTTAGTATATGGAAAAGTTTAATATACTATAGAAAGCGAGAAACATCGTAACAAAGCAAATATATTGAGTGCATGTTTGACAACTACAAAGAACACTCATCCGGGAGCAAATCGACTGATCTCACCCAATGTTATTAGGTCTGCCAAGCTCCAAGGAAGAGTGTCGTCCGAAAACAGTTTCGTTGCCTGCACGCGACCAGACTTAAAAGTAATCCATTACAAGTAACGGATTACTTGTAATCCGTTATTATTTCAAATAATTTTGTAATTGCCAAGTTATTTTTTTTCGGAAGTAATTTGTAATTTAATTTCGTTACAAAATATTGGTAATGGATTACTTTAATTACTCCTTACTTTTTTTTAAATATGATCATAACACAGTAACGGGAGCAATACGAGCGGTACAGTCAACATCATAAAAAGAGCAAGTTCAACAAAATAGAAAACATCAGGGAGGGGAGAATAGCCAAAAAGAAAACGCGATTTTTTGTATAACCATTCACTAGATCCACTAGAAAAACGGGCTAGGCATGTACAAATATAAGAAAGACACAGATCAATTTAAGACAACGCCAAGTGTATGCTCTCGTCACCTTCCATCGTGTTTTTTTTTTTTCCTGGGCAGGAGAAAGCTCTTCGTGTTCATTTGTTTTTATCTTTTACACCCTGTCATCCTTTCTAACCTTTCGACGTCTCCCGCCACCTGCACAGACATCAAACGTGGGTCGGTTCCCCTTCGATTCGCGGGTTTACAATTCGAGTAACAGAAGATGTAGCCTCGCACGAGGGGGTCTAAATCTCTTTGTCTTTGATGTGCGGTACTAGATTCTAGCACGCTCTTGAGGAATGGCTGAAAAGCTCACGGCACAAGGCTAAGTCCATCGTCTTCGAGGGTACGGATGATACTATTTTTGGTTTGCTTGTCTGGGCATGGTGGTCGAGTCCACTTTTTAAGTAACGAAGGATTTTGTTAGAAATAAGTAAGATTTGTTTTGGAAAAGTCTATCCTTCTACAGTTCCGTCCGCAGTGTTTTTTTATCTGCTTATGTTTGTGTCTGCACTTTTTGGGCGTCTTCCGCCCCCGCGCGCGGGCGGCTTTGAGCAGCCACGGGGGTCGGTAGAGAAGAGTCGGACCCCGGTCGTTAAGAAACGTCTCGGGTTTCGAGAGGGGGTGCGGGGAGAACACGTGTGAAGAGCGGCTTGCGGCTTTTAACCGAATGTGACTGTATATAGAGGGTTTTACCGCTTAGTGTAAAATTGTCGCTTTTCGCCCGATGCAATAACTTAGCGGTTGGCGCCAGTCAGACTGGGAAATTTGCAGAGAACAACTCTACAAGGAATTTAGGTTTGGCGGTTGCAGCGCCAGGATGACAGCTTGCCGACCATTGGACGACAGTGTACCCCGTGGGAGTGGTGAAATTTGAAGTGATTGGTCCGTCTCTGGAGGGAAAGGAGGCCTCTACGAGGCTAGAAAAGGGCTGCCGAGAGGATTCTCGGGGAATTCGGCTCTTGAGACTGGGGACTAAAGTATGGGGTTTTAATTTTGGAAGTTTTGTATATTACTGTTGAGTTGTCGTTTTGTTTTGAAGTAAACGTGGCCACACTGGCCATCGTAAACCAACCAACGTCGCAATGTGTCCAGCGGGATTGAACAACTTTTAGTATTTTTTTTTATTATCAACTTCCCGGGGGACTTGCATCGGGCGAACGTCATCATCGGTCGTCACCATCCTGACCGGGCCCCCTTCCCCCTCGGAAACTTGACTCCACTCCTCACTTTACAGTCAACTGTCAACCAGAAAAAGGGGCTGGGGGGGGGGGGGGGGAGGTTAGGGCAAAAAAGAAGTGCTAACAGAGAGAGAGAGACAGAAAGAATGCGTAAAAAAGGTGTGATCTACTGTTTTGTGAGACCGATGGCCACCACTTCTCTCGCTCTATGGGCCCTCCCCTCCCCTGGCCTCCACGAATAATGGTAGGAAAGTGAGAACCTATGAACGATCGATAACCCGTAACCACAACTTTTTTTCTGGGTGGTCCAGTTTTTGGTCATGGAGTGTCCATTGTCTCGATGGCCATCTCTTAATGAGTTGTTCCAAATTCAAGGCGTTAGAAGAACACATAGTCATCAGCATAAACAACAAACTCTAATCTATGGAAACACATCAAGGTAACCTGCATTCTGCATTGGCAAGTTTTTCGTTTCTTGTGACTAACAGGCGAAACACCCGAATCAAAATGGAGCTTTAGTAGATCGCTTCTATAGCTCCGAATCTCGAAGCGGAGGTACACGCTGCTACTGAGCATGCGCACCACTAGTTTTGTCTGCAAAATTCCAGGGATCATTTCCGGAGGCCGTAAGCTAGCGGGATGGCGAGTGTGGTTGCAGCCTTCGGTGCCTTGTCAGCCTGCAGGGGAACGGAGTGCACCTTCACACTTTCTCTTAAGTGGAATATCTTATTTTTACAAGGATTACCATAATACGAGCGTATAAAAATAAAAGTAGTATTGCAGAACATTTTTGAAAAATATCAAAACGGTTTCTACTGTTTTCAGGATAAGTGTACAAAAAAAGTAACGCGAAAGTAATTTGTAACGTAGCAAGTAAAGTAATCCGTTACTTTTCAGCGAAACTAATTTGTAACGGTAATCCATTACATCTCAGGCTCGGTAATTTGTAATTGTAATACATTACATTTTTCAAGTAACGAGCACACATCTGCACGCGACCCGGTAAGGGCGGTAGTACGCAATCCGCGATACCGCTTCCTCGTGCCGCGGAGGACAGTTTCCAAACGACGTTCCTCTCGCGAAAACTTTTGCTAAATTTTTATTTACTATGAAAATCACAATCGATTCATTTTCAACCGCAGACAATGTGCATCATGCGTTCTGAAAGCTCTGCTGCTTCTGCCTATGAGTGCTGATATAGAGCCCCTCTATCCTGGGAAAATTGGCCCCATTCATTGTTGTGGAGATGCTAGAGACACATGCCTCGCGCCACTTCTGGAAATACATACCCTCCTATATACTACAAAGCCTGGAAGATAGTCACGAGAAGCGGCCGCCAAAATTAAAAAGGTAGAGCTCCAGACAACGGACGAGAGGAGAGCCACATGACTGGCGCCCCGAAGCGGCGAGACGCCGAAACACACTTCTCCCGAGCAAACAAGTGTGTGTTCGGGTCCTTGCCGCTGCAAACGCTGTGCGCTGACGTCCAGTTTCCCCGAGAAATGGCTCTTTGTTGCTTTGTGCTACCAGATCCTCGCGCTCCAAATCTGCGACCGGGCACTCTATGGCTCCGTCGTGGAACTGCCGGGCTTTGTGAGCATAAAAAAAACTATGGGGAATAATATAAAGTCTGAAATCTAGTTCAGTGCTGCGCTGTGCCGCCATAATCTTCCCAACGGCTGCACGTTGCACGTGCCTCTTGCATCGACACACCTTGCGGTACTTTCATTACATGAAGGGGCTTTGGGCTTATAGCGTAGCGAATTTCCAGTGGACACAATATGGAAAGAAGCCTGTCGGAGCACTGCTTGGTGCGGTGCCGAACATGTTGTGGGTTGGCAATTAGAAGTGTACGCAGTGTACACGCGTTTTTGCAATGCTGAACTGTAAAGCATTTTGCTGCAATCGTCGTAAAAGCAACAAAAAAGACGACACGAACTATTCAGCGGTCGGTTTTCGTTTCGATTCCCCTCTCCGAACGTCGGCGTATTCAAAAACGCTAGAATACTCGGCGGCGAGGCGACGGGAGTGACTCCTGAGGATGAGTACTCGTGAGTATAGGCTGGTTCCCACATGCAACGAAGCGCTGATGGAGCGCTACTCACGTGTCTTCAGTTAC